GGAATGTGTGCCTTTCGTGGAGCAAGTAAAAGGAGTAAGATGGATTTATTCTTCTAAGGGCCATTTCTGGGTTAGTTGTGTATGCAGACACGTACCTCTAGAACCTACCCTTTATCTGCCAGTGCATCCCTCTTACTCGAGGACTGGATTGAAGTAACAAGGAAATCTGTTTTGTCATTGACACGAGAGTATTCATACCATCACGTTTGCTCCTCTGAGCTTCAGTGGTGGTCTTAGGAAACCCAGCCAGGAACACACGTAGAAAGGTTTGACTGTTTTGGACTCTGCTATGCAGAGGGAAATTAAGAAATTGTGCTCTTGGTTTGTAAACAGATGATTTTTGGTGTGTGGAATGAAATCCAACCAGCTAGTCCTAGAAAATACTGCTGTTCAGCATTCTTTGCATCAAAATCCTAGCAAGTGGGGTACTGTAAGAAAACAGCCCCTTCCAGGGAGTGTGAAATACAACACTTGGAGGAAGACATGACTTTCAAGCCTTTGAATTCGTGGTAAATAGAAATGCTGTTTCTGGGGGCAGGGTTTCTCGAGCTTTGCAGTGCTGAAATCCAGGGTGACGAGAGCTGGGACGCAGCTTCCAAGGCACGTTCCCAGGCCCAGCTGTGCCCCAAAGCTCCTATTGTTCAGGCGCTGGGATGTGACTTGGGCAGTTGCTCTCCACATGATGCCACATGATGCTAGATGAACAGAGATTCCTTTGTTGTGCGGGGCTGAGCTGCCCAACCAGCAGAAATGGATCTGAAATCAGCAGTTTACACCCCTTCCCTTTCCCAAATCTGGCTGCTGTTCTGCCAGTGCAGAGTGTGCATTTACCAGCGCTGCGCACGGGCCGTTCTGCAGCCTTGTCAGCACGTTGATAAAACAGAAACCTTTCGTTTCTGCCCACGTTGTAGCCCGCGGTGTGTTGTTAGAGGCCTCGTATCTGCTCAAATGGGCCCTTGCATAAGCGTGCGAGTCATGTCGTGTGGCACAGCAAGCAGCTGCCGCTGGCTACGGCGCCCGTATGCAGAGTTTGCCCGCTGCAAGCTGAGCAGAGAAGTTTTTACTAAAACTTCTGCTATGCCAAGAAAATTACCCAGCGCCGCTGACTAGCATCAGCGTCACGTGCAGCTGTATTGATGCCAGTGACATTTTAACTCCAGGCTCTGGCTAGGGGAAAGCAGGCTCGGCACTGCTTCAGAACATAGCAGTTTGAGTTGACACGGAGCAGGGCAGAAGTGCCGTGTGGGAGAGCATTGAGGCTGGGCCTGTGATCAGGCCGGTGTGGCGCGGGCTGCTGAGCTCAGCAGCCGCCGGGCGCCTGCAACAGGTATTTCTTTTTCCATGCGTAGCCTGAGCTGGAAGAACAGGATCATTGTGGCAGCAGGGAGCGAGCGAGCCGCAGAAAAAGGCGGGAAGGAAAAAATCAACAAAAATCACCTTTTTCTGGCTTTCAGAGTAGGGTGGGCCAGAGTCAAAGACGAAGGTTCAAGTATGTTTCTAAGAGTACTGTAGAGCATTGAAATCGGAAGAAGAAAAGACTTTCTAGAATAATGCCATTTTTACTAGTGAGGTTTAATCAGCTTTTAAATAAGATTTAGCAGATGTAAGAAGAAAATACAACAAACTGCAACACATACTTTGCCTAACGCTGCTTCTCATTTGTCAATCTGTCATTTATAACCTTGCCATAAGACATTTTTAAATATTTATAGTGTGGTTGGTTAGTACATTGTGAAGTAATTCAATGTACTACATCTTGACAGACAACATCAATTTATTTTAAAAGCCTTTTCATTTTATGCCTTTTTCTATTTTTCCTGTTTTAGAGGCTGAAATATTTAAAGGAATAACTAGCAAGATTAAGCAGGAGATGGAATAGATGACATCCTGTGAGATAAAGGGAGGGAGAAGGAAGGATGAGGCAGGAGAGGGGTCTGTCTGGAGGTTTAGGAAGGGAGGATTGTGGCTCTGGAAGCCTTTGGGGTAGCTCCTACAGCATCTATCGGGAATAGCCTCTTGGAGGAAACACGTGGACTCTCCGAAGCCTGAGTGAAGGCCTTTCCCAGGATAGACAGAGGCGGTTTCTGCTCTCCGTGTGATTCCCACTGCAGTGTTTTCCAAGGCTTTCGACGCGGGTTCGCGGGGGACGTGCCGGTGTTGCGGTGCAGGGGGAAGGCGCACGGGCCTCGGCGGTGCTGCCTCCCACCTCCCAGGTCAGGTTGCTGCTCACACAGGTCCAGTGTCATCGCCGGGCCGGGTGCCTTCTGGAAAGGAGGAAATTGGAATGCGCCGGTGATTTTCTGAAGCACCGCTCGTTGGCATGAGGAAGGGAAAAATGTAGGCGCTTTCAGTGCAATAAATACATAGTTTCTGTGGAAAACCTTGGGATTGCCATGGAAAGAAGATTTCTAAGCAGCAGAGCCTGCAGATTTCTGCTCTCAGAACTTTCCACTGTGCTTTGTTGCAGCCGGTAGACAATTTTACGAGTCAGCCTTTAGTTTCTGTGGCAGATGATTGCACAACATACTGGGCTGGAGCAGATGTGCACATTCGTGAGAGAACACATGCGTTTGAAAAGTCAGATTTTCTTTTCTTTTCTTTTTGAAATGCCTGCATAACTTATCTTTAATTCTTGAATGCATTTGGATGTATCTTCAGATGTTTGTTTCAGTAACTAACTGAGCTTAATCTGCTTGATCTGGGAAGGAGCAGCTAGTTTTGAGAAGCTGGTGCCAGTCTGCGCGTCGGGGTGGGCTCGCAGCCAAGCTGGGATGTCAGTTCTGCTCTGCCTGGTGCAAAATAGATGGCTGCTCATTTCTTTTTCGCCTTCCCTTCGGGTTTTTGTCGGTTTGGGCACCAGCTCTGCGCACAGCGGAGCTTGGAGCTGCATCCGTGGCAGTGCTCTGTGTTCTGGGTGAGCTGCACGGAAGAAGGGCACGTCTGGGCCGGGGAAATGGAGAATCTGCTTTTCAGCAGCCCTGCGATACCATAATGGGGCGCTGAGCGTTTTTGTCACGGTGGCGTGAAGACTATCAGGTATTGGCAACAGGAAGAGCTCGTTCCCCAGCTTGGGCTGGCAGCACGCTCTGCCACCATGGGGAAATGCTTTTAAGTGCTGGCTGAAGTACGTCGCTTTTTTCCTAGCATGGACCAGACCTTCGTGATGACTCTGGAGCTTGCGGTACCCTGAAAGAAGGGAAATTTTGTTAACCACAGCGTGACTAAGGCTCTCTAGTCAGATCGGGTTCTCCTCTGTGCTGGGCCAGTACCAGCAAGATTTGATTTACAATCCCAGTGCTCCGAGTAGTCAGAGTAAAGCAGTCTGAGCAGCGGAGGAAGGAGAGATCAGGAGGTGAAGGGGCATCCAAAAGTTCCCCATGGAACAGCAGGGGAAGACACTCTTGGTCTTCTCTCTCTGACTCATGCTGCCCATCTTTGGTAAAATAGAGACAGCTGAAGTAAACACGGATTAAAGTGCCAGTGGGCAATTTAGAGACAGTTAAGGGGTGATTCTGCTTTAGGAACTGGTCTGTCCCAACCGTGTGGTGAGGCCTGAGGCAAACAAAGCGGCTCGCTCTGTCCTTTCGCTTGGCCAGGGACCTGCTGTGCCTGGCCGCAGCGGGGCGGTTTCCGCAGCCCCCTCGTGCCGTG